CCAACTTGAGAGGCAGCAACTTGGCTCAGGATCGGTTCTTTTAGTTTAGATCTTCGATAAATTTTATATTCCTTCCAGTCCAAAATAAATATTTTTCTTCAACTAATCTTAGTTTGAAATATAAACAACCTAATTATGTAAAAAAATTTACTCCATTTTATCCCTTATATTTATTCACCTAAATATTTATGTAAATGCATCTATCACTCATCATAAAGTATATTAATAATTGAAATTAATGATAAAAGAAAAAATAAAATATATTTTTATGAGAATGAGAACTTTATTTATATATGTAAATTTTTTTAAATACTGCTTATATTTTGGATTGGAGGGAGTACAATGCTCCCTTATATGACACTTTTGGATGAGATCTAGAATTCCAAGATATAGGAAACTTTGACAAAAATAATATTTTATTAATAATTTTTTCTAATAATATCATTCTTATTATATTCTATCTCTCTCTTTAATCATTGTTCTTTCATAAATGAAGTTTTAAAAGAAGGACATTTTTAGAAAAATTTATATTTTTATTTTTAAAAAAATAAAATTATAAATTATATTTAATAAACTTTTTTGGCATATAAAATTTTGTTTAAAACTATCTTATAAATTAAGATTGAGGGAGTGCAATTAAAGACGTAGTGTAGACTAAAGACTTAAGGATTAAGAACATGTAAGTAATTCCAAAAAAAAAAAATCTACATAGTCCCTTCAATTCTATTTATATATTATTTTTAACATATTTTACTAGAATGAAAAAAATCTTAAGATTTATTAATTCTCTTTAAAGGTTTAATACTTTATTTACTTTGCCCCCATTAAATATATAAATTTTTAATACTTTCTGGATCCTAATTTAATAAATTTATAAGACACTTTTGAAAAAACTCGCACTTATCAATAAAATTTATTAAGCATATTTTATTATTTTATTTTTATCAAAGTGTCTTATATTTTTAGAACACTAAATTTCTCTAAAACATGTCTTATAAATTTGAGATAGAGGGAGGGACATACTTCGTCCAGTCCTAGTTACAAGACAGAGTTAACCAATTTTATGATTATTAATGAATGATGGTCAGCATCTCTAAATTTATAAAAATTGTTTAACTTTCTAACCCTACCCTTCAATAAATTTAATGACCACACTGAAATGTATGGGGAACTTACAATTTGGTGCAATTAAGGAAGGGAAACATTGGAGAAAAAATCAATTGCTATATCTTTTACATATAATCAGAATCAAACAGGACTTCAAAATTTACTCCCTCATATCCTTGTTATAAGAAACTATATAGAAAGATTTTTTTTTTGTATTTTAATACTCTCTCCAATCCAAAATATAAGTATCTTTTAATAATAATTTTCATGCCAACAAAATCTTTAAAAATACATATTTTTTTATTTTTTATCCTTAACTTTAATTTATGATGAATGAAAAGAAATTCATAAATTTATAAATTTAAAAATCCAAGTTAATAAGAACAAGGGGTAAAATGAAATTTTTTTTTACAAGCATTAAGTTGTTTATATTTTGGACCAAATGGAGTATGAGGTACAGGGATGGCTACTTATTACCATTTTTTTTTGAGTAAATTTAATTGTATAGCTCATTATATATTGTGGTTCTTTTCCTATTTTTAATAGGGATAAAGTTAAAAAAAATTATTTTAAAAATATTGGCTTGATTTTCAATGAACGGTTTAAAGCATCTTGACTCTTTAGGTGTTTAATTGTGCTGGGCATACTAAAGGAGCATATCCTCAAAAGAATGAGTTATAACTAGATAATCAAAACGAGTTCTCAAGGTACTTTACTACAATTTTCTTGAAGAGTGAAATGACTTGCGAGAATAATAATGGACATAATGAGAGAATGTAAAGCTCAGTGGTATTACGAAGAAGCTGACAAGTTTGGAAAACTAGCCTAAGAAACTAAGTTTACATAGAGAAAGTGGGTCGCATAGAGCAAGGTTGAAGATGATATAGGGTTGAAAATAAAGTAATTGTGCCGGGCAAGTATAGTGTAAATTTGGCAGTGTTGAGAGGTCTTTAATTACGCACTGGTTGCTTATTTATAGGAAAAATTGCAATGGCGCGCCCCCTTTGAATTTTGATTTCAATGCCATTAAGAGTAGATAACTATTCACACCTCCAGTTTCTTAGGGGAGTTCCATCAGGCAAAGTAGAGTGCCAAGAATCTCAAAGAGTAAGAGCAGCTTTGTCAAACCTTTCAAAATGCACCGTCTTACTTATTTTCACAAAATTGGATTGTAATTGACATTGAATGAAAAACAAAATTGGACCGACTAGTTTAACTGGTGAATCGGCCTCTCCATCGATTCGATTTTTCACTTGACCCAATATAGGAGTGACCCGATGCAACCTGGTTGACTCGACGGGTTGGCTAGGTTGACCAGGGGTCACATTTTTTTGTTTTTATTTTTATTTTTTAACATTAAATTTTAAAAAAGGCTTTAGACACGATACTTCTGCTTCACTCTTTCGCTCTTCATCCAAATCGCTCTCTCTCAGTGAATCAAAAGTCATTGTGAGGCCATCTACTAGTCGTTCAAAGACTCAAAGTTGTGAACAAACTTATGCTATAGACTAGCCTTCTACTTATTGTTAGACTTTTGGTGGTTGTATTTCTATAATTATTTTTGTATTAGTATCTTGTATGAAAGATTAATATTGGATTTGGTTGAATGTTTTCATGATTAATGTATTTTTATTTGAATTATATTATTTTAATCATGATTGGTTTGTCCTTTGAATTGACTCTCAATTGAACCACTAACCTTGACCGATTTATTGACCGCTCTAATTTTCAGTACCTTAGTAATTGGGCTAAGTTTTCTTTCCTCTAGCCTGGGCTTTGGGAAACCTTTTATAATTGGGCTTGACACTCTATTTTTTATTCAAACAAAAATATATTTAATAAATTAAAATGAAATAGTTGAAAGCGCATTATGATAGAGGTCGGAAGAAATACCTTATAACTATTTAGGTATATAATATTTTTTCTCACCAATATTTCTTATGATGGAAAAGAGAAAATTAATATGTGATAAAAGAATTAATAATATTTCTGGACCGAAAAAAAAAAACTTCCGCACTGCGTTGTGAATTGGATCAAAAATAGTACTTAATTATGGTTTTATTATTTTATTACTCTCTCTCTCTCTCTCAATTATGGCAGTAGTGAATCTTATTCAAACATTCCTCTTGACAATTATTAAAACTCACTGTGCGTTTCACAAAATTTGAAATGAAATTTGTTTTGTCACAATTTTTGTTATTGTAGTATATATACTAGTACTACTATACTGTCATCATTAATTAAAAATTCAACTTTTTGTATATGAATATATAACTAAGATATTTTTGCAAGACTGAATTAAAAATTAAATACATAATCGACAAGGAATACGTATAATAAAAATATCCGAGAGTTTTGTATATATTGACAAAAATAAGAGGTAGCCGAACAACTTATCAACACTAGGACCATGCACATTACAAAGACTAGAAAAGTCAAACCAATCATTCATATGAGTCACTCCCCATCCATTCTGTGGTCCTCTCCAATCTCTATTGTTCCCACATGGGATCATGTAAGCTTCTCACTCATCTTGCAACATTATCACGTGAATATAAATTACACTTTCATATATAAATTTAAAAAAATTAATCTTTTAATTCTTATAATTTTGACTCCATTATAACTGAATTTCTAAACTTTAATTTTGTTATAAGTTAGTCTTTAAAATTTTGACTCTATTATAACTTACTTTAATTTGATGCAACTTTATCTTTATAGTTTTAACTATTTAAAAAATTAATTCTATATTAAAATAAAATTAGAAAGATTAAATCTTTATATTTTTTATCAAATTAAAATTTTTAGTAATTTAAAATTAATTCTTAAATATCAACATATTTTTAATTTTTAGAATTCTATTTTTAAGATACAATGACTAATATTTTAAATGGTTAAAATAATAGGAATTGAGTTATAATAAGTTAAAGGTCAAGGATTGAGTTATAATTAATTCAAAACTTTAAAAATTGAATTATAATGAGTCAAAGTTAAAGATTAAATTATAATTGAGTCAGAATTATAAAAATTAAATAATTAATTTTTTCATAAATTTATCAATACACACATCAATACGTATAAGGAAATTGTCTCTCTCATACACACTAACACGCGCCCAATTAAATCCAATAATGTTTTAATATGACCTAATATCATATATCCCTTCCGTTCAGTATTATAAATCATTTTTTTAAATATCATGTTAAAAAAACATAATAAATTTTGAGCTTTCAAGACATACTTAATACGGTTTTTCTAAAGATGCCCGTAATTAGAAATGTAATTAATAAAATATTCTAATTGAACTAACTAATTAAAAAAGGGTATAGATGAAAAAATATTTAAAGAAATTCATACACACACATAAATCAACAAATTAAAATTGGGTGGAACGATTTAATTCCCCTCTATATAATTAAGGTTGATGGTTTTAAGATCTTGTAGATAAAAAAAAAAAAATCATGCTCATAGAGCTACGAATTCAATTGGACAACATTCGAATACAACCTGTAACTCATATATATATATATATATATAAAAACAAAATATAAGAAAATGGTTATAGCTCTGAGTGATCATGGATCTCTGAACAGAACCAGACAACCTTCCTATACGTGTATTATTAACACATTACAACAATAACTTTAAGTTTTCAAAGACATAACTCGTCTTCACATACCATATTTTAACTTAGGAACTAGGAAACAAGAAACAGAGTTCAGAGAATCAGATTCCTCTCCTTTTTCCTTCTCGTGACCACATGAATACACACAGGTCTTCATCTAATTAAATTCAACCCTCAAAGTTGAGATATATATATATATAGAGAGAGAGAGAGAGAGAGAGATCAAACTACTTAACAGCAGTAAGTATGCCAGATTGTGGAGGATCACATACTAAATACCATATATATATATATATATATATAACAACTCACTAGTTATTTACTTATCGTTTTTACACATGAACTCAAGCAAAATAAAAGAAAGTTATTAAGCTCCGAGAGACCTGCGACTAAAATGCTGGTAATTGCTCCTTGATCTCCTTGAAGTTGGAAGGTAGATTATAGATTCAGAAACTGGGGAAGCATTTTTGCAGGATGAATAAATGCTGACGAATCCGAAACGATCACTGATACTTCTGGAACCTTTATTGTTGTTAGATCTTCTCCCTCCTCTGCTTGCAGCATTATTACTGTTCCAGAAAGCAGGACTGCTTCTGCCACTCACTTGATGATCATGATCTTCTTCTTCATGATCGTCGCCGCCCTTTGAGCATTCAACCATGGCTGCAAAAAACGGATCTCTTTGAAAGATGCTCGGGAGAGAGTTTTTCTTCTTGAAATTGTAAGAACTTGTATTAGTTGGCGGAGGCAGTGGCAGGAGTTTCATGGAAGATTCCTGAATAAGCTTCTTCCTGAAACATGTTTGTTTCTTCGGAATTCCAGGAAGAAGTTCCCAAGAAAATGGCACGCCGGAGAATCTCAGAGGAGAATAAGGGCTAGGCTCGTCCACGTCGTCGGCGCCGGCGAACAGTGATTCGAGGGAGGAAGATGAATTGTATGGTGAGAAGGAGGAGGACGAGGAGGAGAACGACGGAGTCCGACGAGACCACTGCTGCTGTGGCGGCGGCGGGTGTTTTCTGGCGGCGTGGAGTTGTTTTGGGAGAGTTGCAGAAGAATCCATGGAAGGGAAAGAGAGAAGCTTTTGAGTTTTATTTTTATTGGCTTTGGTGTTTGTTAGGACAATTTATATATGCACAAACATGACTCAATAAATTCGACGTTACGTTTTCTCTTCTTTCTCAAATGAATATTTGACGGATCGTTAGAGAACAAATAAGCAAATTACAGTTACGGCCCCAAACTAATGTCTAGTTACAATATTGACCCATAAATTTTACATAAAAAAGCAATATAAGCCCATAATTAAAAAAAAAAACCACTAAATCCTATTTCAAATTAATGGCAAAAGGTAATCATAAGACAATAGTAGATGTTGATATGTCTAGCCAACGAAGATCGGTTTAGATGGTAAAATCTATTGTTAATATAAAGATTTTATTAATAAATAATCCATAAATAATTTTATAAACATTCTTTAAACTTTGAGATATGCTATATTCTTAGTAAATCAAAAGACCTTAGTGATGAAAAGAAAATGATATTACCAATAGGAGGTTGGGTAGTAGAAGAAGTTAATTGATGAATAATATAACTAATGTTATAAATATTTTTTAAATTGTGAGATCTGTCATGTATTTTTAGTAAATTGGAAGACTTAACTTGTGAAAAGAAAATAATATATGTTAATTTCTCATGGTATGATAAGTTAAAATTTAAATTCTTATTAGAAGAAGTGTATATATTTAATGTTTTACCAGATTTGGAATATGATCACATGTGGGCAATAAAAAACTAAGAAAATGATGTAATGAACGAAGGTTTTTTTTGGGGGGGGGGGGGGGGGCAGAATGGAAAAATGGAAAAAGAATAGAGACGCAAGGAAGAGGTTGAAGAGAAAGGGAAGGTTTTAATGAGTGTGATGAAGGAGGAGGGAGAGAAATGGAAGGGAGGGAAGCGAGTGATCGTAATCACATGGAGAGGGATACACGCCGCCCCAACCATGAGGCCTTGCTCCAGGCTTGTCTCTTGTGGGCTTTTTGTTGCATTTATTGTGCATTTAACCTCTCACCCTAATCTATTCCCCATCTCACACCTTCTTTTTGCTATTTTAATTTTTATCCTCTCAATACTCAAAATGTACTTAATACACTTCAAATGGTTTCTGCAAGCCTGAAGGCTTTACAAATATGTTTCTTTTTTTAAAAAATACATTTACTCCAAACTTATAAGTTTTTCAAGTGTATGTACATACAATATTCATAAAGACATGACAAGATCCATACATGAAGAATATAATATCTGTTTATTATACATAATTTGTATGATTAAGGGCAAATGCATCTTTTTATGAAGAAACATATTTGCATTTGAGACTTTTGGGCCTGTAAAAACAATTCAAAATATATTATGTTTTAGGTGCAATTTTTTCTTTTCTAGAGGCTTAGGTGTGATTTTTTCCTTAATCAAAACCCAATGTAACTTCGGTTATTGACTGATTTTTCTATATAAAAAAATTTCAATATCTAATTTCATTTTAAAGCATTCAGTTATTAATCCCTTAGATAGTAAGATGAACCAGGAAACGAGGGTATATCTTTAAATTTTTTTTTACTTCTGCAAGATATTATCATCCTTATTATATGCATCCAGTGTTATATTAAATTCAGATCATTCTGATGAATTTAAATCATTTAAAATTTTGAATTATTTCCTGTGAAAATTATACTCAGAAGATTCTTTATATTTTATAAAGTAAATGAGCTAATTACTTCATGAATTTTAAGTCAAGTAGCATTATAAATTTTGAACTCATTTATTATGCAAATTATTCTCTTAACTTTTAAAAACAATATAACCTAATCCTTGCTGTTAATAGAAATTAATTATTTTAATCATTAGTTGATTAAAAAAATGACACAAGAGGATATAAAAAATCATAGAAAAGAACCAAAAAATTACAATAACGGACCCAAAAATTATAGGTGATGATTCAAAAAAATATAAAAAAAGGACCAAAAATGTAATTTTTTAGGTTAGTTTTTATTATTTTTTGATCAACCAACGATTAAATTTAACTTTTGTAAATGATAGAGATTTGATTGTATATTTTTTAAAAGTTAAAAGAATAATTTACATAATAAATAAATTTAAAATTAATGATGCTATTGGATCTAAAGTTTGGGGCTAATTTGTTACCTATTTTCTATATTTTATTTTCTCAATAAAAATAAAAATATTTTTTCTATTAAATTATTGTTATTCTACTTGTTTTTTGCCTGAAATTGTTGTCATTCTAATCAATAGCATGAGTGTTACTTTTTATATAAATATATTATTTTTTTAATAGTAAGAGATGACGGAAAAGTAGTTGGAAAAGGGAGACAAATTGGATTGAAGGATGAAAATAAATACGCAGGGTTAACTTTTTAACTGTCGTTTACTTTACTTGACACCGCCTACGTATGATATCTATGGCAAGTTCAACAAAATTGACCTAATTTACTTGAAACTACCAAAGCCAACTACATTAAAATATTAACGCACTTGTCCCACAGAATTAATCCTTCAAACCAAACCAAAGGTTTGACTTATTATTTTGGTCTCTGTCTTTATCAAGGTTTAATCAATCTATAAATTTGTACCTACGGTTCAAAAAATTATACACCCTCCGTTTAATATTATAAACCACTTTTATATTTTCATTGTTGACATGAAAATTTTATTAATGAATGATTTGTAAAAATAAATTTATAAGCGCTATTTGAATTTGAAGGCATATCCTATAGTCTTAGTGAATCTTTAAGACTCAGCTCACTTAAACTTTTCTTTTTATAAAAAAATAATTAGTTAATGACATTTAAAATTACACATTCTTAATTTCGATATTTACTTTCATTTAATTGGTTGTTTCAATAAAAAAAATCTCATTAACTAATGGGAGTTGGGTCTCATGGAAGAGGTTAGTTTATCACAATATGGCAAACCAAGGTTCAAATCCTCACTAAGAGAGATTTTCACATTTAGTGCCGGACCATGTCTCGAATAGGATTACTTCTAATAGAAAGATACATGTAAGCAATAAAAAATCTCATTAATTACACCCTTTATTAAAGGGTATTTTTGGAAAAAATATATTAAATACATTTGTTTGGGCTAAAATTGAAACATCACTTATAAAGGGTTATAACCTAAAGTAGGCTAAGTAACTAAAAAGTGAAGCTCAATAAGTAATCTAAACAATAAGGCCAGTCTAGATCCTAAAAGAATAACTTAGTTAGATAAGCACAGGTCCTCGAATTCCTTAAGTCTTAGAGCCACCACTTAGATTGTTGGTATATAAGACCATAACTTCAATGGGCCCCAAATCTTGCGAAGACATGACCATTACTCATGAGTATCTCAAAAACACAAGTTGATAGTTAAATAATGGAATGCATTAAGAGTAGACCATGCCATGAATTTCGCAGATTGCGCATAGTGAATCCCCAATAGTTCGTGAATGAATTCCAAATGTCATGGGAGCAACCACTACTGCTAAGTCATTATAAAAGGAGGAGCAAATCACAGAAGACAAAGAACAACACAAACCTAAATATTGAAGTTTTTCACATATGTAGTTTTTAAATTCATCAAATAGTTATACTTGTAGCTTTACTTTCGTCTTTAGCTTGTAACCTTTTGTGCTTTATAATCCTTTAGCATTAATCAAACACTTATTATTTCAACTCTTGTGTATCTTTTACATTCGGGTAAACTGTGATAAGGGAGCTCGAAGACCTTTTGTTATCAATTAAGACTCAGTGTCTCTAGCACTTTTGGTAATTTTATTATTTTCGATGACCCATTTGTGGCATGCTTGGTGGGACATTGTGTAGCAAAATGCCAAGGATTAGGAAAGATAAAAAGATTGATGAAACATGTGCTAGTTCTAACAAGCCAGAAGAAAACTATGCACTTGCAAGGTTAGAACTATTAATACCTGACATTGAGATAAGTGGACATTATGAGCACATAATGTCAATGATAATGAGCAATAACAGCACAAGCCCTGGGTTGAAACCAGGAAGTGAACAGGTAAACCTTCTAAATATATCTAATGGTCCAGTAGCAGAAGTTTGCATGGAATCCATGATTGCGTGGATAGACATACGGAAGAAAACCAAAAATTCTTTGCTATCTCTCTAGAAACATCAGAACATATAGAGAGAGAGAAAGACAGCAACTAATAATACAAGCTCTGCACAAGGGAATGAGGAACTTAGCTGTATCATTGAGAGGGACACCTCTAGAAGCAGGCTCAAACTTGAGGTTGCATGGAGGACAACAATTAAGGATTAATACAAATGCAAGCCCTTGGTTTTTTTAATAAAACTTATTTTAAAATTATCTCTTATTATTTCAATATTTAAATATTTTCTCCCTCTTCTCTTTTTATTAAATAAAAGATATTTTTGGAATTTTTTATTTGAGAAATTAAGGTATTCACAATTTTTGGGTACATATACAGACAAGTTAAAAGAAAGAAAGTTACACAATTAGATAAAAACTATTCAAGTGTAAATTATATTGCTAGTAAATTTATACTTAAAAATGAAATACTTCCTCGATTTCTAAATATAAGAGAAAAAAATTACATCACACAGTTTAAGAAGGTTAGTTAAACATAATAATTATGTTTGAAAATAAAAAAATGAACTCAAATACCCTATATCAATAAACATTAGAGCCAAGAATAAGGGCCGGGCTTGGAGGCCCTATTTAAATAAGAATTCAAGTTTTAAAAATTAATTTTTTTTAAAATAATCACACTTGAGGGCCTGGCCTTAATAAGTCTTATAAAAAAAGGCTTGGGCCCGAAAGGCCTTTCAAATCCTGTTATATTATTATTAATTTTTTTCTTTAGTAGAACATGTATTTGAAGCTAAGGACCTACTCACCTGAAGCCCTGATCTTACACGTGTTACGTTATTGTTAATTTTAATTTATTTCAAAATTAATTTAATATAATTTAATAAATATCAATGTGCAATATACAATTTTTGATTTTTTTTTATTTTTCTATAATTATTACTCTCTCCGTTCAAAAATATAAGACATTTTTAA